CTTTTCAAGCACTCTTGAATAGATCCAAATGCCAGGACTGATGCACTCTGACCGAACCTATCACGAAGTGGACTTAGTGTGTGAAAGTGTACATGGAGTGTCTAGGGTGACTTCTTGCACCTACGAGTACCTGGAGTCTCACTTCCTAGCTCGGACAAATGGGGCCGAAGCCGTCCTTGTCGTAGTCTTGGTGCACACGCTTCTCCAGCAATGCTTCGAACGCAACATCTTCCTTGGGTTAAACGAAGCCATAGACATCTACTACACTGATCATCTTCATGTTGCAATTTGTGCGATCTACATGTGCTATCTACACCCCTGTCATCACGCGTCAACTTTGGATCAGCTGTGAAAGGCTCCAATGAAATTCAATCGCTCCAGCCAAGATGCATCATCTTCTACAATCCTGGGCGCATGGGGGAAGGAATCTTTCCCCAGTAAATCCCAGTTTAGACTAAGAACCACCAGGTTTCTGGTCTCCTGGAACATCCTCCAACATCCTCCAACAGGTCTTAAAGGCTTGGGCCTTCCGAAACAGGTTTCTTTGTGGGCCCAGGTAGTTGGTAGTTGAGCCAGTCCCATGAGTCGTGCCGACTTGGCACCCGCTCCACCGCTCGACTTGGGCCGGACGGGTCGCCGGTCGCAGGTCGCCGAAGGAGGCCCGACGGCCCGACGACCGTGGCGCTTCGGACCACTCACCGGAGCCAAGAGAGGTAGCCAGTGACCTGAACTAGGACTGTACTGGGGTACCCAACTGGGATAGTCGAACGTTCGGGTCATTCAACCTCTGAGACTCCCTCGTTCCGAAGAAAAACCAGGTAACCTTCTTCCACCTCTCGTGCTCAGTGGGGAAACAACACTGTTCGGGTCATTCAACCTCTGTTGGAGGTACGACTGGAGGGTGTGGATGAAGATCCTTCGTTCCCGCGTCCGACCGCGGCCACCACCGGACTTCCGCGGCCACGACCGGAATTCCGTTTCGCGCCCGAGGGGCTCGGCAGGACCCATGGCAGTATCTTCGGATCCCTGGGAGGCGCTCAGGAGGTGGGAGACGAGGCAAAGGTGGGTCAGAACCCGACTGTTCGACGACCCTCGGGGTGTCCTGGCTGGACTACTCCACACTACCGGCCGGTCGGCTTCCAGACAGGGCACCCCGAGGGTCGGAGGGTCCAGGTAGGTACTTCTGTAGGGTCCTGGTTCAGGTCACTTGACCTTTAGGAGCGAAGACAGGGCGTGACGTTGACCCGATCGGGTTTGATTTCCGTCGTCGACCCAGTCGTCACCTCCGCGTGCCTCCGATGTTGGGCGCCCAGGAAAGTACCGACCTATACCTAGAACCTGAATGACCTCTATTTTGGACCACTAACCACCCAAAATATGACATTTTCCTATCAAAACAGGGGTCAGTTGGGTTCCAGCTAGGTATATATAATGATACTATATTATATACCAGGTTAACCTTTTCCGATCTATTCATTATTTAGTGGGGAAACCAATCCCCAAAAAAGGTTAAACATGGTTAAAAAGGCTATCCACTGACTGGGTAGGTCCCATTTTCTAAGGTACGACCGTTTCGTCGGGTTTTGGTGTTGGGATGGTATCGGAGTTGGGAGCATTACTGCACGACCAGGGGCAGTCGCATGGAATGGAAGACTTTGAACACCATAGACCATTTCACGAGTATGGATATAGATAGAGTTATACGCAGTTATAAGTTATATATATAAGGATGGAGCATAACTATCATGCACATAACAATTCCATACATGGATGGTCTGGGATCTAGACCGGAGCATGGAGCGAGGACGCTCAAGGCGTTTGTGATCGATCCCTGTTGGTGATACGGAGGGCATGTTCCTGCATTCCCAAACACTCCATAATATACAATATATAGAGTAGATGGCACAGACCCCAAGACGTCCTTTAGATGGGGGTCCATATAAGCCACCTTTTGGTGATCGTGCCATTTTCTCTCAACCATTCTCAACCCACTATACCTACATTGACCCTGCTTGGCACCACCCCCTGGCCTGATCGGCAGTCCTATGGCAGTCCCATTAGTCGTGTCTGGGATTGAAGGTTGTGTATGACGCGTCATGTTGATGAGGCCACACACCCACACGCACCCACCATGGGGCGGCAAATCGGTCCATCAGCAGAATCCGGGCTTGGAGTATCCCCTGCGTTTCAGTGTCGGGTCCGACCCCTGCTATGGAGAGCCCAAGGGTTCTTAGGGAGGTATCTTTGTTTTCTCAGGGTTTCTCCTAAGCCGGTGAAAGTGTGGTGTGAGAAAAACAGGATTGGAGGGATCTTCACATCAATTCACTTCTCTGCAATCGGGCAGCGAATGCTTTTTCTCTGCAACGGAATGGAATTCACCTCTCTGGATAGATTGCGACAGCGAACTTCACAACAATCAAGTCACCTGTCATGCATCTGGTGCGTCCCACCATTCATCCCATATGCCTCATGTATTGCTCCAAAGCGTGGTTGAAGTATGGTGATGTACTGTGTTTCCTATAGCCTTCAACCAATCCAAAAACAGCTTGGACAAGGGTTCTTCTTCGGGATTCAGCTCTTCAATCTATCATAAAAATCTTTCTTGAAAAGCCCTAAATGATCTCAATGACTCCCGACTGGTGCCCCTTTTTGCCGCCCGCTGCGCGCGGTCTACCGTGAAGTGACCTGAACTAGGACCCGTCACCTGGGGTATACCTATAGCCTACCTGGAGTCTCAAACTACCTTGGAAAATGGGTACAAGTATCTGTTTTTTTGAGGTCATGTCCCATTTTCTAAGGTACTTTGGAGGGTCCAGGTATAGGCCTAATCCGGATAGTCGAACAGTCGGGTTCTTCAACCTCTCCTGCTTCTCCCTGGGACGAACACGCCCCCCCCGCAGTCGCTTCGTCATGGGGAACCCCACCATGGCGGCGTCGGTATCCTGCGGGGGATTGGGATCCCGCCGCCGCGCACTGCCTGCTCCGGCACTGGGGGGGGGGGCGCGCGGCCCAGGCCCCCCCCATTCCGCGAGCGGTTGGGGCATGTTTTTGGGGAGACAGGGCAGGGCATCCTAGGCCAGTGACAAAGATTTCTAGGGCTCCAACCATATCCTGCCACCCACCCCAACCGCCTTCTCAGAAGGTAGGCCAGGAGCCCTGGGGTATCGTCGATTAGGGGCGGTGTTTGGGAGTGATTTGGAGGCTCCAAATGAGGCTCCGGACCTGGACTCGTACCCCTTCAAACCCATGGGACCAAGCCCTAGGGCTCCGTTCGGCCGCCCCCTCCGTTTCGGTTCGGTGGGCCAGGGGTGGGTGCCAGGAAGGTCAAACCACCTTCTCAGCATATGGGCCAGCAGCCCTAGGGGTCGCGATCCTGAGCATCCGGCCCCAGACCCCACCCAGACTTTTGGGTCGGCTCATAGACGGACGCAACTGAGCGAGAAATCCCCTGGTCAAGCAGTTCGGTTCACTGAACGAACTCGACCTGTTCCAAGGAGTCACATGGAGTTGGGTGGTGTTTGGTCCCTAAGTGAGTGGATCATGGGCACCCCTAACCTCCATGGATCGCACCTCTCTGTGACTTTCTTACCAGGACCTTCCAACAGGTCACCACCTGCGACTTCTGAGTCTACAAAAGCCTTCAGAGGAGACCTGTTGGTTTCGGTGCCAAGTCTGGACCTGTGTGGCTCCAGGTTCGGTCGAAGTGCGCTGGGACCCACCCTAAGAATCAAGGACCCGACCTGTTCGGTGAAGGTTTGGTTCGGGTCCAATGATTCTTAGGGCAAGAGAAAAACAGGTACCACCAGGTACCCCGACGCAAGCCGGTTTCAACCAGCACAGGTCCTCTGACAGGTCCCAACAAGGAATTGGGACCCGAATCCCCCGAGCGGACAGGTCCCGACCTAAACCTCAGTCCCGACCAGAAACAAATGGTTGTTCCGGCAATGGAGATCCTTTATGTATCCCAGACACGACTAATGGGACTGGCACATTTACCTATACATTGAGATGGTTGAAAAGGAGTCAGAGTCAAAGTATGTAATATATGTAAATATGCCATACATGGAGAGTCGCGGTATAGGAAATGCCTGGGGAAACCTCCATTTCTTTCGGGACTGGGCTTCCAGGAACGTCTCATGCTCGGCCCCATCTGTGGCCTTCTGTGCGCTGTGTGCGGCGTTTTTCTCGGCGCGGCATCGGTTCCGACAAACCTTGGGACCCAAGTCCTGTCAGGTTCTCACCAATCCCGTCGACGGACCTGTTTTCATGGAGCGTATCGGCAGAACACGCAGCCACCAGCCGCCGAGCAGCCCAAAAAGGAGCTGCAGAAGCGCCGCCGCTCTTTCGGCCGCGGCGCCCGCGGTGGGTTCGGATTTCCTTCGGTTCCCTCCTTTGGTTGGTGATGTGGGTGGTTTCTGAAGAGTGCTTGGATCGATGGTGATGATTTCTGGGGTGCGGAAGACCGTAGCTCTTAGATTAGATGGATCTTCTCTTTACCCTCCAAAGTGCCGTAGAAAATGGTACGTCCGACCTCATGTACAAGACTCTTCGGAGGTACGGTGTCGCCGACTCCAGGTGACGATGGAGATGGAGCGAGTCAGCATGGACATGGAGATGGAGATGGTGACTGGAGGTCTCCCAAACATGCTGCGAATTTCGGGGGCTCAAAGAAGGAAACCCTTCAGATGGTTGGCCTTCAAACACGAGATGCCAGCAGTCACCTTCGACGGACGGGGTCCTATCGATGGAGGAAGTCGTGGTGTCCCTCGGACTCCGACTTGGGACTCTCCTGGTCGATGGACCTTCTTGCAGCCTCACGCCAATGGTGCGTGAGTGCACGAATTGGTCTGCAAAAGCCCAAGAGCCTTGGAGGTGAGACATGGTGAGGAGGACCCTTTGCCACAAAACTCCTGGCAAGGGAGGAGACCAAACCAAGCATTGTTACTGAGTCACATCTTCTTTCCCCACACTTTCAGGATTGGTCTTCTTCATGACTTAAAACTCCCCGCTTGGGAAGGCTCCACTATCCCACCACTGTGGCCTGCCCTGATCTCCCTATTTTCTACCAGGAAGAACATGGACAGGTCAACATCGATCAGAGAAAATTCCTGTCACACGATCCATCACAAACAAAGCGTTTTTGGTTAAGTTGCCAGTGACACAAAATCTTCCCCACGGAAGCTCAAACATCTACTTCCACAAGGCTGAGAATGATCAAAATTCTGCTCGTCTCTCGCTACGAGCCTCTGGCGGGATGAGCCCACCCTGAACTCAAATGCAGCTATGATGTCAACCTTTGGGATGGGCCGACACCCCTCTCGGGGATCTCACTGCACAGCTGCAGCAAGCGAACGCGTCGCACACAACCACTTCTAGAAGTCCACTGGTCCGGTTCTAGACCCTCAAATCAAGTTGGCAACCAAAAACTATACACACAACAGCCACATGCCCTGTGCTATCTAGCATGGAAGACGTCTCATCAACATGGCTGGACTTCCCAAGTAGGCCGATGCACAGCCTGCGGGAAGGAAGAAACACAGCACAGGGCGGCGCCACACAGCATCGCTGGAACCACACCCCTCTATTATGAACGAAACTTGAAGAGCAGGTACAAAATCACCAGCACCTGAGCGCAGCCGCGCAGTGAGAAAAGGTCTCCCACGATGCACGACAACTGGACGGTGCGGGTCTTCCCAAGCACGACCGATGGGATCTAGAATAAAGACCTGAGCCCATGTCAACCACCCAACCACCTGGACCTGACTGCGTTCGTACCTTAGAATATGGGACATGACCCCATTAAAAAAAAAAAAAAACAGGTACGACTGGGGCCCCACTTTCCGACGAACGAACGGGTCGACTCCAGGATGTTGATGTCAATTTCTATCATACCCATAGACTCCATGGGACTGCCATAGGACTGCCGAGAAACGGCCAGGGGTGGTGCCAGGGTGGTACTTTGGAGGGTATATAATCACTGGTACTGTTCCCATCTTCGGCACTCGGAGACTCCACGATGTGTTCTTTCGTCCCATCTGGCTATGTGAGGGACATGATTTTACTCGTCCAAACGGTTGAGAAGAAACATGCCAAATCCTGTACTGTAGACCATTGCAGACCTGTTGACCCACCAAAACGCCTCCTGCCACTCCCTGAAACCACCATCCTATATAAGTAGAAACTAGTCCTGAAAGGATGACCATCTTAAACAGCTGGTCTTCACTCCAAATCGCAGCAAGCTGCACGCGATCCTTGGGATCTCCGGTCCAGCATCTTGAGGTTTGTAGGGTGAGGTTTTTGACCCCACACAATCCCACAGGGGTCCCAATCACTCACTGAGAGGGTGTTTGGGTTGGGAGACCGTTGTGAGAAAAAACAGGACCTTCCAAGTCTGGTGGTGTTCAGAAGCCCTTTCAGGTGGTGAACCTGGGCACCGGACTGGTCAGGAAACACCTGTAGAGTCGGGTGATCTAGGTATGTTTCAATCAACCGTCGACATGAGAACTCTTTGATCACCGAAGAACTCCAGTGGAACATGCGGATCGACAGATTCATCGGATTCGACCACCACACTCCATGCTGGGACCGACCCAGTCACTAACTCATTGGATCTCTCGAACCGTCACTAGGTCCACCAGTCCCCCAGCGGATGTGGAGACGATGGCGATAGACGGTTTGGTTGGTTACCGGGACTTGATGCCAATACCCTAAGCCGCCCCAACTGACCATATGCCAGTCAGTTGAAGCTCGTGCACCTCCAGTTTTGCCCCACCATCTGCGCCCCCGAAGGGGGCGAAGTCCACGTTGTCGACACATCGATGGGACGAAGGAAGACCGACCCCGGGCGCCGGTCCCCTTCACGGGGGCGCACGCACGAAGGGAGGAAGGAGTGAGTGGGGTGCCCCAGTGGGTGCGCCGACTTCACATCCCCTCAGGTGGATGGGTGGGGCTCAAAAACAGTGGAAGGAACTGCTCGTGTGTATACACCACCCGAAGCCAAGCATGCCAACTATTCCAAGCCGTAATGATGGAAGCAAATGGTCGCCATGTGCCCCGCTTTCCAGGTGCAAAAAGGGTGGTTTCTCAAAGGGGTTGTATACTGTATTCATCTCTATTCCCTAAGGTTCCGAGCACAAATGTGGCACCCGAGTCGCGGGCAAGATGTGAACGCTGGGCGCCAAGCTTGCCAGTCCACTTGGTTTGGAAAAAATGGCAGCCATAGCCACCATGCCGCCTACACAGGCGGACGAACGCCGACGTTTTTAGAGTCTCGACGAGTCTCAACGATGACGTTGACGAGTCTCGAATTCTTCGAAGCAGCCAGAATTAATAGCCCATGACATGACTAATGGGACTGCCCATATATGCCGATCAATGGGGAAGATTTGGGAACATTCTTCATATGAGGCAGTTTTTACGCCCTTGTGGGTGTGCATTGAAAACACCTGCACAGGTTGCATGACTCCCCCCCTGTGTTCCCACATTCTAAAACATCTGTAGCATCCTGTATAGTCAAGAAAGGGAGCCCTGGGAGGACCAGAATGGCGATGCCTTGTTGATGTCTTGCCCGGTGAATCCCAGCTAGTCAAGGAAGCCAAAGGCCCCCGTTCGGTCTACGGTTTTAAGTCTTTGAAACCACTGGTTATACCAGCCAAGCTGGGCCTAAAAAGGGCTTTGCAAGAGTCGGTGGTCACTTGACCTTGTGCAGCTCGTGCAACGACCGGCTGACCAGGTCGAACAACAAACACCTGGTGCCCGTACACAGTGGATCCAATATCTATAGGAGGCAACCAGTACTTCCAAAGACTGGTAATTAGACCGGAAAAAAAACAGAACTGGTTCTGCCTGGATAGGGTAGGACCGGGTAGGACATACCAAGCTGATCTGGGTGAGGCTGTGGGGAGGATTCTGAGAAGTCCGGACGCCTTCAGTAGGAAAGACCGAACATGACAGAAGTTTTTGCGTCCGCCCGGAACATGTTCAGAACCCTTTTCCACCGAATGTGTGGGAAAATCCAAGTATCCTAGGTAGTAGGTCTTGTCTGTGAACTCTTGCTCAATAAACCAAACAAGCCCTCCTTATGAAAATGCTTTACATGGCACATGGTTTTACAATCTACTATGTCTGGGGGGTTATTCATCAAGGGTCTACATTAAAGGTTGAACATCGATCAACATATCAGCCCAACAATATCCAACAATCAATGCATGGAATATCTATCTATCTATCTATCTATCTAATCTAATCTAATCTAATCTAATCTAATCTAATCTAATCTAATCTATCTATCTATCTATCTATCTAAACATGTCGACCAAAAACATCCAAAGGCGTGCCTACTGGATGGGACATCACCCAACCAGCTGTTCGATGGGTCAGAACCCGACGTAGTTCGGCTATCCTAGGCAAGGGTACCCCAGGTATTCCAGGTCCTCCTTCAGGTTACTGGATACCTCTGTTGCTTCCACCCCCTTCCAGGTCCACCCCCCCCCCGCGGTTTCGAACACCCCCCCCCCCCCCACCCCCGCGGTTCCACGGTTCTTCTTTTCTCCGGACCATTCCGACACCCGGGGTCTCCCTGAGGTTTCACCTTGTCGCGGGGTCGGTCGCGGGGTCCGGCCGCTTCAAGTCAAGGGGCCCATCAAGTCAATGCCTGGGACCGTCGACTTCGGTGCGCGCGAGGTCGGAGCGGAGCAGGTGATGGAGCCGTGAAGGTGCAAGATGTTCGACTTCAGAAGTGAAGGAGGCGTGACTTGCTGTTTTCATAGGATGATCTGGATGCACCTATAAGAGTGTTTCTGAGAACGCCCATCGCAGGTGGCCTTAGTCGCTGAGTCGCAGCTGAGCTTCCCAATCAAAAAGGCAAAAAGGTCGTTCGGAAATCGGCTGAACTCAACGACCCAGTGGACACTGGGTCTACTGGGTTTATATACCCAATAGCTGAAACATTCCCATAGACTCCATGGGACTGCCATCTATGCCGATCAGTTGGGGTGGTGCCAGGGTGCGGATCCTTAGGGTGCATGGATGTGTCCTTGAGGTCGCAGCGGCGTCCGATGCAGAAGGGTCTCAGTAAAATAATAGGACAACCCATTACCCAAACGCTCCATGGGACTGCCGATCAATTGACCCCCCTGGCCACCCCAATGTAGGCATATATAATATGGCAGGTCTGGCATACATGGAGTCTATGGGTTATGGGTGGTTCCCCTCACAGCCGCTTCCGTGGAAGAATGCAAGAATATACTGAACCAGAACTGTTTCTGGAGGTTTCTAGAGACTTGGACACCTGTGTTATCCGATCTCTCCTCCTTCTTCCTCACCATTCTGCCATAGAAATTGACAGGATTTGACAGGTCTTTTGGGAGTTCTTGTGCTTTTTTTTGAGGGGGCAGGTGTAGGAGCAGTCTCGAATAGAATACATCACCTTGAGATCCGATTTCGGTCTTTTCCACCTGGTCGCGGTGCCGCCTCGCCACGCCGCCTCGCCACCATCGCACGACCGGCCGGTGCCCGATCCCCGGGCCTGTTTCGATACAGTCTGTGAGGTGGTGGTTCAAAGGTGGCCTCAAGGCAAACGCGGCCCTCCGATTTCGGAACGGGTCTTGGTCACCGGTAACGAACCGTCGCCGTACCTCGAGCCGTCATTTTTGTTCGAAAAGCAACGGTACTAACAACGGTATAGTGACCTTTTGAAGGTTCCTTTTCGTGACCCTTAGGAGGCTTAAGTGACCGAACCCACCAGGTGATCAAGTTCGGTCACGAACTGAAGAACCAGGTTATAAGCGGTTTCCATCTCATCTTCATTCCCCACCAAATCCCCATCAAAGGTCAACGGCTTTCCACTCTTCCTGGGTCGCCTAAAGGAGAAGACTTCCCGGTCCTTGGGCTGCACATTGCGCACTCTTGCTCTCTCGCTCTATGCGTCCGAATGGATGGTGCCATTCTGTTTGGCAACACTGCAGCATGTGGCAACACATGTCCCAAGAATGAATGTCACATTGCTCGGCTTGCAAGGCGAGATCTCGGACCCCATCCGGGCACCGGCAACATACAATTATTAGTTCGCATGCACCTTGACAGATTGAGCCTGTATGTTTTTTTCCACCAGCATGAGAGATAGGTACGAAGACCGGGAAACATGGCAGCCAACAAAGCCTTCAATTGGCAGGAAAAATGCAAGCTTTCTTTTTCCAAGGGCCCTAGTCACCACACTTCAGGCAAAACGCCTGCACGGCTTCAACAACGGCCTTGTTCTTCGCCCACCCAGCTACTCCTTCACCCAGGCACTGGAAAAGCTCCAGCTCTTGACGCGGTGTTGGGCGGCTGACATTTCCTCCGGCGGATGCCGGCGGACGCCGAGGGACGAGGGACTGAAAATGGACCGGTGTGCGCCCGGGCGCCTTCAAAGACCACGAAGGGAATGATTCACCAGGTTTGGGGTCAAAGCAATGGACTTCTTTGGATCACATGGCATTCAGTTCAATGGTTCTTGAAATCCTAGGGGGTGTCGTTTCATCTTGGTGTAAGTCCCTAAGCCCACACTCGCGCTTCTCCTTGTTTTTTTCTGCGGGCCCTCCGTGAACACGAGACTACGGCGCTTCCGCCCGATTCGTGGTGGAATGACCTCAACCTGAAGTGGACTTAAAGGTTGGATTTGAATGGATTAGAGGTAAGGTGGAATGAACAACCTTTCAGCTAAATCCTTCATCCATGTTTTAATCCAAAGAAGTGTAAAATTATGTAAAAGCAGGTTGTCCACTACTCCTGGGTAGGAAGCCCACACCTATGTTCCACGCCTGAAGGGACGCTCTCCATCGACAGCATTTCTGGATCCTCGCTCGCCTTTCCCAAAGCCTGCCAACAACAATCCGTTGCGAGCTGGAAACTCCAGTTAGATCTCTGGTGATCAAATGTGCTTTGGGCATTTTGGGTCTATCCTATTACCAGTAAGAGTGGATGATGGCTAGCTTGCAGGCCGACAGTTCCCAAAATAGTGATCACTTGCACATACCTTCGAAGGTGATTGGAGACTAGTTATGTCGGCGCCAGGAAGGTCCAATTGCCTTCTGAGAAGGTGTTCAGTGGATCCATAGGGATAGCTATAGAGATCATTGTGATGACGGCTCTACAGGTCAGTTTGGACATCCGGCCCATGCCCTGCTCGTACCGGCGCTGGAAGTTGATCCCAGGAACCGGGAGTCAAGCTCATCTTCCTGGAGTCTCAGTTCGTACCTCGGAAAATGGGTACAAGTACCTTTTTTTTTTTCCGAGTCATGTCTCATTTTACTAAGATTTTCTAAGGTACTTTGGAGGGTCCAGGTTGCGTCACGGAACCGGAAGATTCACCGGAAGAGTAACCCCATGGATCCCAGTAACCAGGAGCCCTCTCTCTCCGTTTGTCTTGAATGGGTGGTTCACGGACACCCAGTCAAACCTCTAAGAGGCATGAATAGACACCCTGACATCATCATGGAAGTCCCCTATCCCAAACACGACTAATGGGACTGGCCTATTTATCGGTTGAAAAGGGGTCATATGCAAATATGCCGGTCCCATGGAAGTCCTCTTATGGACATGACATGGAAGTCCCCTATAGAAAGACCGTTTCCCGAAGACCACACCAAGCGACTGACCTTCACTCCACGAAACGAGGGTCCACACGGAGTGGTCCGTCTGACGGGTTTCTCAGGGGTGACACGGGGGACTTCAGGGGTTTTGGGTCAAGTCACTTGGGAAGACCCACCCTAGGGCTCCAGTCATACCTCCTATAGCCGGTACGGTATCTAGACCCGAACATGGCACCCACCCTAATTAAACACCGAACCTCAGAAGGTACTACGACTGGAGCCCTATAGGGCCAAGTTGGCCAGCCCAAAGTTGGACATTGAGCGAGAGGAGCTCCTCTTCGGAGCCGGTTGGTCTCCTACGTACGTCTGACCCTACGTACGTCTGACCGTCTCCGTCAAACCTGGTCGTTTGACCTATCCTGGCCCCCCACGTCGGATTGATCGGCCCACCTGCGTCCTGGCACGAGCCGGACGACCTGAGGCTTTCCATCGCGGCGCGATCGTCGAAGCACAGCGGACGAAGCGGGGTGGCTGATGAGGTGCTTGATGGGTCGGGGCTGATGAGGAAAGACCTTTGTGACAAAGGTGATTCTCTTCTTACATCTTCCTACGAAAGCGAGAGAAGATGGCAACTTCAAAAATACCGTCATGATGGTGCTCCGCACTCAAACTTAGGTCTCTGGGATAATATATGATAATTTTGATGGCAATTGCTTTAACCTCACCACTGCAACTACCTGAAAAAATCAAGACACATGCAGGCCATGCCTAAATTAAGCAAGCAACTGGTTCTTGCCTTCGGCAGGAAGAACACCCCCCCCGGCGGCCTCCCCTTCACGAGGTAAACAACTCAGCTGGCTGTGCATCGAGCGACAGAAACTGCCGCTGCGCATCAACGTCGCCCAAGCCAGAATCAAGGCCACGCAGCTGATGGACCTGGAGCCAAGGCACCTTGACATGGCCAACTCGGCAACCACTTGAGGTGGAACACTGTGCTCTGAGCAGTCTCTTCAAAGTGGTCTGAGTGATATTGATGTGGTTCTTTCAATCCATGATCACAGTGATGTTGTGAATGCTCTTGACATACTCAGAATATGCCAGACTTGGGCCTTTCTGTCCCACGAGAGCACTGCTTTCAGCCAAAAGAAACTGCCCGAAAGGCCCGAGCTGCGGAAGCCTGATTTGTTCATCGATGCAGCGGCTTTCATGCGATTTCGACAGCTGGGGGAATCTCCGAATAGCTTCTTGCTCCTATAGTAGCAAGGCCAGGAGCCCCGATTCGTAGCGTCCTTGTTCCGTTCGGTTCGCGATGCCCGACATGCTCCGTTCGTAGCGAACATTGCTCCTATGAGTTCGGCACTGGTAGACCGTTCCATGTCGAAGCACTGCACCTTCTGGTCCTTCGGTGTCCCCGTTAAACCCGTTTCGAGCTCCGAGTTCCGCCCCGCCCCGTCTCCGACCCGGTGACCGGTGGTGTTCGACTTTCCAAGACCCACCCCAACCATCTTCTCGGCCAGGAGCCCTAGGGCAAAATGCTCCTCTTCTCTGGTCAGTCATGACCCGTCAATCCTGTCTTCGCAAAGCGCTTTTGGGTCCAGTCCACCCAACAAAACATCAAAGACCGGCAAAGCAGGCAGGCCTTTTGAAGATATACCAAGATCTTCCGACTATGAAAAACATACTGTATGCCTTTTGGCTGGTTTTATACACAAAAAGGCATAAATGTTGCATAGTTGGAAGATCTAGGTATATCTTTCATTGCTTGCCCCTTCATGCTCCTTTCACAGCCCAGAAAAAGGTCTCTCAAATAACCTGGGGATTGGTTTGACCCCAAACCCCTCCAAAGGAAGGCGCCAAAAAGAGACTGCTAATACGTGAAAAAGGGAAGCCCTGCCCACGTCTGGCGCAGGCGAGGACATTGCCGTCTGGCCAAGGGAAACCCGTGAGGTACTTTGTGGTTGGTACATGGATCAAAATGGTGCGAAACGTGTTCTTTTACCGAAAACAGCTCGCAAACTCTGGACGTCCAAAGATATGTGCAAGATTCCTGGCCCACCATTGCTTTAATGGTCTGAATCCCGAACCACCATATAACAACCATTAATTACTATAAGGATTTTGCACTACAAAACAAGGTCCACCATTCTTCCTAAGATTTGCTGAGGAAACCAGATATTCACCATAAGGGGATTCACCCATAGAAACAAACTATATACAGTGGTTCCAGAGTAGATGGCACAGACCTCAAGATGTCCTTTACATGGAGGTTCATATAAACCACCTCTTGGGGTCTGTGCCATCTTCTCTCAATCCACTATATAAGATTATAATAAGATGATATCAGCAAAAACAGGTCTTACATTCGAAGGCTGGGGTCGGGATTTGCTGTGTTTTCCGACCATGTTGCCAATTGCATGGAATAACATAAAGGATGCCTTGAGGAAACAAAACAATCAGAACGGTTACACTTCTGAGAGTAATGCAGTTGATCAATAACCCCCCAAGACTGGACATGTAAACCCATTTCGGGAGACAAGGGGCCAAGGGGGTTACATTCGTTATGCAGTTATGCATTAATCAACAGCCTACCCTACCCAAAACTATAAGCTCCACATGCTCCAGGACCTTCAATTTGACCCTTTGATCTCCCAGAATGAGGTCACTTAGGTCTGTACAAGGCCACTTAGAGACTCCAATTCGAGGTCACGCACTGCAGGTCCTGGTTCAGGGAAAAACAAGTTAAAAAAGGGTAGCGCCGTCGCCGGACATCTCCAAACATCTCCGACCGGCAGTGACACCAGCGGTTTGCAGAAGACCTCGGTCCTTCTTCGGAACCCTTGTTCTTCAACAGCCGCAAAGCTCGCTCTGGAGGCCATCGCTACTAGGGTGGAGGCCCTAGCTATTAATTCGGGCCTCCTTCCATTCTTGGTTCCTTTCCCATACACTCCATGGGACTGCTGCCATAGGACTGCCACCCCATTAAAATCCATTAAACCCCCCTGGCACCACCCCTGGCCTGAACTCTCGGCATATATTCAGTCCCAGGCAGGTCGCGTCGCGTCGCGACGGGGGGTTGCTGGGAACCCAAGGCCATCGCTGGATTTCTTCACCCCATCCACTCCTCACATCGACCCTTTTTCGGCGCCCAGATCCGGCCGGCTGCCTGAAGGCTATGCCGATGTCGCTCATGCGAGCGACAAGGCCCAGAACGGCCCTCAGCCTTTCAGAAGGGTCTCAGGCCATCTGGAGGCGGTGCCCCTCTTGGCCAGGTGGATGAAAAGGGCTTTCTTCCCATCCTCCTCACAAAGAACGCCAATCGTGATGAGGATCTTCTTATATATCGATGTGACAAGGAATGGCTATTGTTCATTATTTATTGAAAAATACGAGGCAGTTCAAAGGGGTCTCCAAATAGTGTCTATTATAAAATCTATCAGGCTAAGGGGCGCTTAATAATAATAATGATGATATACTTGTTTCAGTTGAACTAGATATTGTGTTAATTGACCATTTTAGTTATACGATCTATGATGTAAACACATTGTAATCAATGACATCTTCCATGCTATACCCATCTTCAATCCAACAGCCGTTTTCCATTCATCGTTTTCCCTCCATCCGTGTGCCGTCCTCGTCGATCTCCCAGAAGCACTCGTCGACTTCCAACTCACATCCAGGAATCCCCTCGAAGAGCACTTCTCCTCTCACCTTCACCGACACCTGCCGTCACGGTAAACCACCCCGACGGCGCGGACGTCTAAGGCGTGAAGGCGTGTGGGTCGGAGGGGAGGGAGGGGACTGGGCCTTGGATCATGGAAGGGACACTGGACCGGCAGGTCTTGGGTTTTTGCATGGCTTTTCTGGGGGACACTTCAAGGGAAAGGTGGGAAAGCTGTGCAGATCGGCCCTGAAGTCTAAAAGATGTGGGCTGAATTGTTGGGTGCAAGGATGTATATCTTCTAGGGCTCCAACATGCTCCAACCACCTCCGTTTCGAAGATGGTTGGGGTGGATGCGGAGGGGGGTCTAACCACCGAACCTGAGGATATGGGCCAGGAGCCCTAGGGATTTTAATATGAACCTGGTACCCCTGAAGAGTGATAAATATCACTCCGTTTTGTAATTATCAGTCTTTTGGAAAGTGGTGTGACAAAAAGCACTCCGGAGTGAGAATAGTTGCTCCAGAATGTTTGTTTGTTGCTCCGCAACGTATCTTGAACTCACAGCGAACGTTGATTGAACGCAAAGTGAAAGGCACTGCGAACGCAATCTGAACGCAATTACGGTTGGACTGATTTTTGTCCACTCCGGAGTGCTTTTCTGTCACACCACTCTCCAAAAGATTAGAGTGATAATTTATCACTCGTCAGGGGCACCGGCAAGACTCATGACTCAGGTGTCCAATTGCCCATACTTCGATCCCCCCCACCCACTGAAAATTCCTCAGCTTCCGGATTCTCTTGTTCTGTCAAGCAGCTCAGTTGGGATGATAGACTCGAATGATTCCCTACCGGTCGAAGGGTTCCTTCGACATCCACCGATTCTAGGGCAGTTGCTACCGAAAAACAGAGGACGTACACGTGTTTTACACACGTTTTGCATGGGTGGGGATTCATCTGATCCACTTGGGAGCTGCGCGTCCAGATCCACCTGACGGAGAGCGAAGTGAGCGCTGATGTCCTTCTTGGTGATGTCATTTCCCACGGGCGCTGTCACCAATATCTCCATACCTTGGAGCTGTCCCAGGACTGGTCTGACCATCCCTGGCTATGCCAGGGTGGTTGATGAAAAGGGGTCATTCTAGGGCTATAGGGCGTATGATGTTGGTCTTTGTTCCCAAACAGGTCGTGTCTGGGTTGCAGCAGCCGCTGAGTCGACCCATGTCCGTGTTAGCACGTCCGTTGAAACATGGAAAAAGCATGGTGAGAAAAAGAAGGGAACACCTGTTCTGACTCCGGTGACTCCGTAGCCGTTTGCATCCCTACTTAGATGGCGCCTTTGTTAGACTTAGCATACTGATGCTTACAAATCTTATAGTTAAGTTATGGTCTACTTACACACAATCAAAAGGGTTTACTCTCAATTCAGCTGTTTCAGTTGAGTGGGGTGCACCCAAATCATCCCAACTAAAGGTTGACGGGTTAAACAGTTGAACATCAACATCCCTGACACCACTAATTACCCAGTTAAGCCATTGAGACCGTTGCATTGACTTCCCCCAAACATATATCACCACGCATGGAGAAGGTGGTATCGATTCCCCAAACTGACCCATCTGGGATTCTAGACTTCGCTCTCCCAAACGCTCCATGGAGTCCTGCCACAGGACTGCCGCCCTGAAGGGAAGCCGACCCTTCTGGCACCAGCCCTGGCCTGAACTCTCAGTATATCCGGGCGCCGGCCACGCGTCCACCCTACTCCCCTCCCGTCCTTCCTCCCTCTCCCGTGTCCGGCGCCCGGCTGTCAGGCGTAAGCCTCTACCAATCCCAGACAGGTCGTGTCTGGGATGCTTCGTTTGCCCCATGTCCGACCGACCAGTCAGACCGACCTGGGCACTTGGTGCTTTTGTGATTCGGTCCCCGTTTGGCCTCCGTTTTCGTACCGAACCTGAGGTACGGTGGGACTGGGGTGGGTGCCAGGAGGGTCTAAATACCGAACCTGAGGAGGTACGACTGGAGGTGTAGGGGTCTGCCGCAGGCCGGTCCGCGACCCACGTCCCATTTTCTCCAAGAGACCCCTGCGCTCCCACACGTAGCGCCCCTCCTCGTCGGAGCCGCCCGCGCCGACGTCCTCGCGGCCGTAGCCCAGCTCGTCGGCCGCACAGCGCGGCAGGCGCCTGGCGGGCGAAGCCGCCGTTGCGGGTGGGCCAAAGGGTGGGAACCAAGGTGGGGTGGTTTTGCCACACCCCCCCGGCCAAGATCTCTAAGGGGCTATCAATAGAAGAGGGGCCTCTTGAGGGTCCGATGTGACATGTCCATACCGTAGCCTTCCATTTGACCTTTAAAAAGAATCTAGGGGGCCAGTGCCAGTTGTGGATTCACCAGCTGACGAGGTGCAATTGCCAAATAGAGACCGATTTGGATGTGGACGAGACGGAATGCCAAAAGCAGGCTAAAGTTCAACACGACATCTCATCTGATACCAAAGGGTATACTTGTTTGACGTGTTAATACATAGAACCTCGGCATATGGAGACGTCAAACCTCTTCATTCATATCAACAAAGGTTGAAGGACCCCTAGTTCGAGTATCCCAGTTCGGTAGCCCAGGTGACAGGGGTCCTAAAGGTCACTCTTCGATCACCTCTCTTGGTAATACGGGATCCCGTTTCCACTCCAACACGACTGCCAAAGTGGCCAGCCATTTTGCCCCACACTACTTATAGGCTTCCAATGGGCACCCCGCCAGGAGGGTCCTGGTATACTCTGGTGACTGCAGTTCCCATCATCCAGCCGTGGACTGCGGGACTGGGGAAACTCAGCCGTGACTCTGAGACTCTGCAACTCCATAGGTTTCCCCGGTCCCAACCATAACACCCTAGGGATCCAAGTACCTTCTCAGAAGGCACTTGGACCCTCCAAACCCACCCCAAACACCTTCTGAGAAGGTACTTGGATCCTTAGGGACAGTTCTGGATGTTTCCCCCGGAACCTGGAACGGGTCCGCGCGGAAGAGGCCAGCGCACCCAGTGCGAACGCTGTGGCCTCCGGAACCACACAAGGAGAAAACGGGGAAAACAAAAGGCACCTTGGAGTCTCAAAGCATTTTGTAAAAAGAAGAGGCTTGGTGCATCCAAAGTTTGATGGCTGTTCTCAATTCTCCACTCCCTAAGGATCCGAACGGACCCTCCATGGGGGTCGGGGTCGAACCCTTTAGGCCCCTCATGTACCCGAACCAAACCCTGGTTTTGTTTCGGGTGCGGATCCTTAGGGCTTGTCAGTTCCAGATTTGGTTGAGAAAATCGAGCCACCCCAAGGCCTATTCTGACAAGTCGAAGCCCGATCAGCATCCAGCAGCAGTCAATGACCTAGGAGTTGTCCTATATAAGATCTTCAAGCGGCATTCCGCATCCCGTGATGCTATATGATCCCTAGAAGTCGTGGCCCACCATCGTTTTAATAGCCAGGTCATCCCGAACCACCATTGTTTTACAAAGGGCTTTACACCATTTAAAAATGGTCGACTTGACTTCCAGGGCGATCCCATGAAGGTGGTATGAAACTCTTGACGTCCAACTTCGATTTGCTGATTAGTAAGCAGGACAAAAACACAAACATATAGTCCCGCCCTATGCAAATGGATTCCCCCACATTGAGGCAGCACATCAAAACCATCTCCCATGCAGCGAGCAAACAACACATATAAAGATGACATCTCAAGTGTTCCCTCCCAAAAGCATCATATATATATATATATATCAACAAGCACCAAAAACGAAAAAAAAAAAAAACACATAACCCCTACTAAGAATCCTTGGACCCTCCTAACTGGAGGGTTTGGACCCTGCAGAATGTAGGGGTTTGGACCCGAACCAAACCTTCACCGAACTGAGGGTCCTTGATTCTTAGGGTAACACATATTGTCATCATGGATAGGATTTACGGGATGTATATACTCGTCGCTGATGGTAATCGTTGAGCATACTTTCCACACATTATTTCGACTCCCAGTTGCTCTTTGGAAGACTCCCAGTTCTCAATGGACTGGCTGCAGTTCCGGCCGGGTGCGGAGTCACAGTGCCCATCATTCGGATCCACTCACAGTCTGATTCACAGCTCCCATGCGTGGACGGAATTACTGGAAGTCTGGATGTATTGGTGGTTTCTTATATCCCTGAGGATCGAAAGTTAGCTCTATATGCTAACATTTGGGGTTGTGTCTTCTGGGGCTCTGCGACCTGTGAGGTCCGACCTCACCCTGTGAGGTCCAGGGTGAGGTCCGGAATTGTATATACATTTCAGGTACCCCAATCTGTGATTCGACAACGTCTTCAAATAACACGATCAATAGAAACGTATGCATATCCTGAGATCATTTCTATTTGTGACCTATGTGTGGTCATGGATCGTCAGGGTATCCTATAGGGCTCTTGACCTACCTCCTGAGGTTCGATGGTTGGGGTGGATGCCAGACAAGTCGAACCACCTTAGGGATGGTTTTACGCTCCACGTTTTGTGGATGTTTTCCCTAGGGCTCCCCCATATCCTCAGGTTCGGTGGTTAGACCCCCCATGACCCCCCTGGCATCCACCCCAACCATCTTCTCCTCGGGCCAGGAGCCCTAGGGTATATATATATATAGCCCGTGAGATTCTCACGGAGCATACGTGGTAAACCGCGGTCGTCCTCCGATCCGACTGCGCTTGAGTTCTCCGACAAAGACCCCCATCAACGACGCCCGATGCGACGAAGAGAATGGGTGAACATCTCCCAGACACTCCATGGGACTGCCATATACCAGGACCCACAGTCGGGGTGGTACCCCGAATCACATCTAAGGGGCTATCAGAAGCCCCTGGCCCGGGTGTCCTGCTATGGAGTGGTTTGGGGGGGTGCCAGGGGATCCCATGGAGTGTTTTTGGGGGTATGGCACTCATGTGGCATGTGTATCAAAGTCCGGCGCCCTGGACGTGTTTTTACTGTATGGTGCGATGAGGTAATGACCCTCCCGGTTTCTGTGGTGGTTTTGGGGTGTTGAATTGTTTTTTGTTTCTGGTTGGGTCTTAGTTTGTGATTGATCTGGTTCGGGCAGCTGACCCTTCTCAACGAATGCTTCACATCGTTCGCACCCCACCTGCCACTTCGCAGACTGCGGTGGTGCCCTGCGCAGGAACCGTGCCGAGCAAGTGGATCGAAACGCTGACACAAAGAAGACCATGGGAATCATGCAGTCCCCAAACAAACCTATAGTTTTTTTTTCTGTTGTTTTGCCTACAGCATCCTACAGCACTTTCTGAAATATGAACTGCAAAGAGAATGATGACTATTATCATACTTCAGTTGATCAGTTCCCGGACCGCACCCAACCGCTCTATGGGACTGGAATCTATGCCTACCCCTGGCCTGATCGGCATGTATTCCCATTCGTCGCGTCTGGGATATAGTGAATCTTAAGCTCCCCGAAACACTTCCCGTACATCGGCTGTTGACCATGTCCGCTGAGCCGCCGAGCCTTTGCATCCACCGGTCGACCGGGTCGACGTGTGTGGTCGAACGGGAACCGGAACGGGTCCGCGGATTCGGGTCCAGGCTCGCGTCTGGGCGACCTTGCTTCAGGGGCTTTAGGGGCGCCCAGGAACCGGGAACATCCACCTCCCCCTTGTAACCCCCAAGGTCAAAGCCAGCCCCTTCTTGTCCAAGTGGCACGCGAGGCACAGCAGGAGCTCCGGGCGGGACGCCGTGAGCTGTGAGTGGCGCAGGAGCCGCCGCGCGCGTCCAGTGCACAGGTGCAGTGAAGAGGGTCACCTCAAGATGTTCAATCCATCTACCCAAACGCGAAGTCTGGACCCGAATCCTTACCAAGAGAGGTTAAGTGACCTGAACTAGGACCCTACTGGGGTACCTATATAAAATAGTCTATAGGGTCCTTCAAGTCGGACCCGAATCCGAACTGGTCAGGGCTCAGGCCTATAGGGCCGAACCAATCCCTATACCTGGGGCCTCCGGTGGGACACAATTTTTGACGAGAGATGGTTTTCATCCAAGTTTCGCCGAGAACAATAAAAATTGACGAATCGATGTTTCCACGGTTTCCCATCCCCGCGCCGCGCCCGCCCGCACATGATGGCTCAATGATTTTGACCTCCTTGCCATCGACTTCTGCTTGGTCCTCAGGCGGCCTTCGGTCGTTTGTTTTTCTGGGCTAGGGATGTCCTTTTCTTCCATCTCGTATGCAACAACTTTGCTTTGACTAAGTAGAGTTCCAGCACACGCTGCTGCATGATCCGTGAGTCAACCCTGCGACTCAAGCGACAGCATTTTCCAATCATGTCCTCATTGGCCTCATTTGAGAAGGCCAAAGGGGACAGAAACAACTTACTTGCACATCCTCGCCCAGCAGAGTTTTCAAGAAAGAGCTTCATATCATGTATCACATGCTTGTACATGTGGAGCTTAGGCACCATTGCCCATGCACACACAGGAGCGATTTCACTTGCAAGCCACGCGTACCCGTTCAAGGCACGTGTCCCATGCTCATAAAGCTGCAGGCAGCATCGACGAGTTGTCAACAGATTGTGGCTGAAGAGCACCTTTGAAAATCTGGACAATGACAAGCTTACTTCAAGCATTACTTTCAGCATCCCTGTGCGCCGTGGATCACTGAATTGGTCCAATGCTGATGGCAAAAGTGCCTCCTGTATCCACTGGTTTACAAGCACGGCATCTGAGGCTTTAATGTTCATCCACGCATAGGTACTCTTGTTGGTCCAGTTGAACAAGGTTCTGCTGAACGATCTCAAGGACGGACTGCGATGATTGGTCATGCACCAGAGCTTGAAATGTCCATGCGCTCTTTGAAGTTGAGTCGGGATATCATTCTTGGCATCCTGCCAAGCAAATAGTTTCCAGGTTATCAATGTGCAGATAACCGAAGCTGTGTGATGGCGATACAGTCCCAATTTCCCAATGTGCATCAAATCACGACGCAAAAACCTTTCAGGTTCTCGCTCATCAAAGGGTATGTCTAGAAAACAAGGTTCAGATTCAGGATCCCATGGCCGAGATCTCCACAATGTTCTTGCCCATGCTGGTTCTGCACCAACATCTTCATACGGGAAGCGGTCCAACCCCGCATAGCACTCTGCGCACATTGCTAAATTGCGCTTGCGACCTTTTTTCCCATACCATCTAACCAATGACCTCATTTGGGCCAGCCATTTTGCATCGCCTTTCATGCCCAGTAGCGCCACTCTGTACTTCCGTTCACCAATCACCAGCCCTTCATGGTACAACTTCTTGAGCTCCTGTGAAATCTTGTGTACCATAAATTGAAGGAGGTCCGGATGCTCCTTGTACAAAGAACATGGCACCAAAAAGAGTGGCACTCTGCTCAGGAACACATGCTCTTTAAAGTTGGTGCTGGCATAGGCTGCAAGAGGCACTTGCGCTGGACACCCATGAGCACAGGGATATTGTTGTTGCAAGCCGCTGTCGGGATCACATTTGTCACACGTGAAAGCATGGTCATTGTTTCGGTATTTCTCTGCAGAAGAGAGGCCGAAAGGAGACTCTAAAGTCACCAATGCCGTATTGCCCCGGCGAAGGCCTCTTCCCTCGTCGCCGTAGATCACAGCAGGGATAACTGAACCAAAGGTCTCTGTGCCTTCAGGTCCATTGTCTTGGAACAGTTGATGTCCTGGGTGTACATTCCTGTATTCACACCAAAATGATTCCAACAAGTTTTGAACGTCGCAGTCTTCAGTGAACCCACCAAACAAGATCTCGCGGTGATGTGCGATCAGGTAAGTGTAAATGTCGATGGGAGACATGTAGGGCAAGTGAAGCGTTTGCGTACCAAACTTGTATTGCATTTCTGAAATTGGAATCCTCCATTTAAAGCCGTAGCGGTTAATCATGCGATGCGCTGCTCTAGATGCATTTTTGGCACTGCTACTGGTAACCTTCGGCATGCTCAGGTCACTTGACCTCGCTTCCACAGCAGCGCTGCGCGCCATGACATCGATGGATGATGCCGGGACCTCAGAATCAAGCGGCGTTGGGTGGAAAAGTTGTGATTGATAAAGCTGGTCTGTGGTCACCAACCAAATGCCTGTGCTTATACAATTGGGTTCCAAACCCCATCAGCAACGGCTTCAGCAAATGCTTCTGCCAGTGGGCCGGGTCGATACGAACCTGGCCATCATTCCAAATCAGTCTTCAAGGAATCATTCCCCATGAAGGTGCCATGAAAGAAGTTGAAATTAAGGGTGACACTTCATCTTGCTCAATGGTTCTCATGGTGTAATTCAATTGCTAATCCCGCCTTTTTCTCAGAGCCCCGTGTTCCATCGACATCTCTAGAAGATGGATACCCTAAGAGCGTTGATATTTCAACGCCGTGTGTCCAAATTAAACTGTTGCATTGCCTAGGCCCTTCCCCAAACATTTGGCTGGCATGTTGTGATTTGTGAGATGTTGTTTTAAACGTCAACTTAAACATCAACTTCAACAGCAGCAGGGCCCTGCAAGCAATCTACCTACTTCTTGGTTCGCTTCCTTGGGGCCTTAGCACCTTCATCTTCATCTGCCAATTCTTCTTTGGCCTTGCCTTTAGCCTTGGCCTTTGCTTTACATTTAGCCTTGGCTTTCGCCTGGCCCTTTTTGGCCGTTCGTTTCTTTTTATTCTCACTCTCATCGCCCTGCTCCTTCTTGGGGTAGAGCTGCCTGAAACAAGGATGTTTAGTTGGGGCAGTTCGGATGGACTAGTACTTGTGTTCAAATCACTTCTTCACAAACCCGCCTCATGCGACCTTCCAATGAGACGGCGTCCATAGCCCTTGGATAAGAAAGCCACTGAAGAATGACTACTCTTGTCCGATTGAGGCCGTGGCTTCCTTTGGGCATCAGCCTGGAGGCTCCCGAGATTTTTCTGCACCCTGGGCAGTGGGTTTGATTCTTGCCATTGATTTTGGGAAGGCGGAAGAAAGCTAAGGTAACCACTGTTTGGTCAGACCATCCACCACGCCATTGGAAAAGCATGTTTGGATCCGACTGTGGATATCCTCAAGGTCGGCAATCGCAGCTTCAATCTTTGTTTTCATCCTGGCACTGGAGCGGGGGCCGGGGGACTTTAAAAAGATAACGCCTTGTGATAGCTATGCGCTTTGTGGCCATTCCCCGACTAATTCTGTTGGAATGTGTTTTGGGGGTATGGCTGGTGGCCACACATCCTCATTGTAACGGATCACTACTGTGAAAACAGTGACAGGCCTAATAGAACATGAATTATCACCAGTCCTGCTCTGGAGGTCTGAAAGGTTACCTTCGGCATACCTGTCCAATCCCTGCTGAAGTCTTGCAATCCTCTTGTCCAAGCACGACCTGGGCTCAAAGAGAAGATTTCCAAGGCCGTCCAAACCATAGATCCTTAATCCTTAGACTTAGATCCTCTTGGTCTGAACATCGATCATGTTGCTGTTGATTGCTGGCTAGGCGCAAGAGTTTTTGAGAAGATGCACTTGGCAGCCCATCGTCTGGCATTTCCGGTAGCCCTGCCTGCTTTCGAAGTGTTCCCAAATGGTCAGCTTCAAGGTCAGCATCGGGGTCTTCTTCATCTTCTGACTCATCGCCTGTAGGGCTATAGCATGCTATAGCAATGGTACCGTTAAATTATGTGTGTGAAGGACCACAGGCACCCGAAAACACATGTTTCCCTACCTTCCTTTTTTTGCTTTGGAAGCTGAACAGGTGGTGCTACCAAACGTTCCCTGTCAGCAGGCTCGAGGGAGCCCTGAGCGCCGCCCTGTTCCGTCCAATTCATCCTGCGGTTCATGGTCACCGAGCTTTTTTTCCTTGGCGAACCATGAGCTGGTGGCAAGAATGTGTGGGTATTTGTTGCTGCTAAACATAGTTGAAGGTTGGAGATTGTTTGCAAGTAAGCGACCTCATCGTTCCCTTGATCGTTTTTTCAGCCCAGTACAAGGTCTTCTTCTCATATTGGTCCCGCCTCACAACTTCAGAGGTTGGTTTAGTCTTTGGGACTGTTCGCTCGGGAGGCACATCAAAACAAAAAGAGTTGGGCCTCATGTACTTGGCAGGGTTGGTCCGTGCAAATCTGATAACTGCGGAAACCCGTTGCCTTAGCCAGGAAGGTGTTGAAACACAGGCAACTTGTGAGTACAATAACCAATTAATGATTATGTTGCAGTGCATGTTTTGGCTATCGACACCTGTTGACATCTAGTGGTGCAAGTTACTCACTCCATCCCCAATCAGATAGCATCACATCCTTGCTCACGTACTCCCCTTCTATGACAACCTCCGATTCCTCCAGCTCCTGACGCAACACCTCAACCTCTTCAACGAAGGTTTCCTGAGAACGAGAAGCCGCAAGAGCGAAGAAGGAAGCTTGAGGAGAAGGCTCGGTTCCCAACAAGTTCTGGTGGAAAGAAAACATGTTTTTGAATTTTGGCCAATGATCGACATTGTACCCGCAAAGTTGAAAGATCTGCTGCAGTTGTTTCCGCTTCTTGCCACTTGGGCCGCTAGAATGCCAATCATTCACAATTTCTTGGGATACTTTTGTTTTTCCCTTCAATGTTGGTGTCATGACCCGACGAAGACGAGCATTGATTGCATTCTGGGACAACTGAAGCTCACCAGCTTTGGGCCTCAAAGCTTTGGTATCAGTGACCAACGGGATTTGTGATTCCTCTGGGATGCTAGTCTCGGGTTCCACCTCTAGATCAACAGTTTGGCCGCCCTCAGTCGCAGCCAGGTTCTGAAAAGGTTCACCTGGTAAACCCACTCCACCTGGTTCACCTTCACGAGAGTCACCCGTAGTCCCAAGCTCGTCCCGAGCCGTCTCGGCCCACGGGCTCATGAGCAACCTGCGAGGCTGCAGTTCGGCGTCAATACCTGGAACGGTTGCAGGCGTGGCAGAGCGGGCTGGAGTGGGAAGAACATCTGCACGGCAAGATGGACGAGGCTTCCTCTCCAATTCCTGGGATGGGTAAGATCAGACATCCAGTGGGTCCAATGACAGTATTACTCATGGGGATGACTTGAAATGTAGTCCATGGTTTTGTTACGTACGAACATCGTCTAAAAGGGAAGATTGCTGACTTTGATGTAAGGATCAGGTTTGGAATTCCAAGGCCATGGCTATTGTTCATCTTGTTGATCCCACCACTCTTGCGAAGTGATACTTCGGTCAAGCTCCGTCGGTGAAGAGGAATTGATTTCCAAACATTGGTCAAGCTCCTTAATTGGTGCTAGGCATGGCTATGGAGCCACCGCGAAAGCCACACATCCATAGTTCTACTTGTGCACAGCTTATTGAAACACAAGGGACCTATTGTGAATTCCAAAAGGTTCAAAAGGCAGTGAAACATAGCGAAGACATGAACAAACGCATCCTAGGAACTGCCAACTCTTGCTCCAGCTGGTGGTCAGTCTGACTTTTCAAAAAGCCAGATTGCCCTTTGATGGCTGCCATGCCAGTCATGAGGGTGTCACACGACAAACTTCTAGGAACTTCAGCCATGACTGTGAGACGTGCTTGGTCCCCTGTGCCTCCAATCCGTGTGTTTCACAACTATGGGTGGTATACAGAAGATGGCTCACCCTGGTTGCAAAGTCCCTACCCAAAGTATTCAGTGAAGTAATCCAAGTTGTCAAAGATTATGTTTCGGCGTTTGTGCTTTAAAACTTAACATGTTGTCATTGAGCGACATCACTTGTTCACAAAAACACTTCATCGGACAATCAGCCTTTTCTCTTGAAAGCCGATGCCTTCAAGTCGATTGCCCCCCCCAAAAGTTACTGTTCTGTTTTCAGAATAGGGCTCAGGATTTGATCAAAAGTACTGTACGCTCAAAATCGCCGAAACGACGGGAAGAATCGCCGAAATGACGGGAAGAAACGCCGAAAAAAAAACACACGAGATTCCAGATCCACCCAAATTTGCAATACAGAGGCTACTTGGTGCTAATGTTCCTTCTTGTTCCTTCTATCCCTGCCCTATCCTGAAAGAGACCTATAAAGATCTCAAATGCTCTGCGGTGGGAACATGTTGCGCCCACTCGGCCGGGATCCTACAACGGGATGACCCCATCATGTAAAGGAGCGCATCCTCAAGTTCACCCTCATCCCAGCTTGACCACACAAGCTCGGCCACCACAGCGATGAGATGTACGTCAGGTTTGGCCTCGGAAAGCAACAGTGAGAAAGCTGGGGCCTTAGGGTTGGCTTCTGGTCTGGGTGGGAACAAGAAAGAATCACAGACTTGATTCAATGGCAAAGTCACGGGTGGAATACTTGGCCGAATCTCGGTTTTCATCTCCGCTGTCAGACCCACCAAAGTCGAAGCAAATTTTGGTGTATAGATCCTGAGGGTCAGCCACAAGTTCACCACAGTTGAAGGGGTAATTTGCTTTGGAACCAAAAGACTCACATACCCACAGACCCAAAGATCGAAAGCACTTTCATGTTCAAAGGTGAGCGTCTGTGTTTCTTTCAATGCTTTGGAACCCTGGTACCGCCACTTGCCAGATCCATCTTGGTATTTCACAACCGTTTTCTTTGTTTCATCCTTTGCAAGATTCTTGAGGCCCAGGGTTCCCGTTTGCAAGGCACGGATGGTTTCACTGTTGCTAATGCACATGGTTGGTTTTGGCGTCGGAGCTTTGAAGGCGGCCATCCAAAATTTCGCTCGCCATACCTAGGCATTCAAGGGATCATGAGGATGGGTGTGTTTGGGCAATCATTCCAAAGATACTTTTGCAAAGTAATTTGAACAGGCTCGGCTTGAAGCCAAAGAGCTTTGATGTCCAAAGCACGGAGTTGCTTGAACAACCACTGCATTCGGGGGTGATTAAGGATCGATGACTTGGCAGGGTTCTCAACCAAGAAGACTGAGTCCATAGAAACCACCAAGCACATAAGTAAGACACACCTATCAGCACAACTTGAATTGAACTCATCCAACGCAAGATTAAAACAAAACAGAACATTCCAACACATGTTTGGGGAACTGTTTCATCAGCACCCTGTCCTGCAGACCATTTTGTTTGCAGATCTCACAGATGGTTTGTATGTTGCACCGAGTGGGATTAAGTCATCCCTTTCCGAAGTTCCTTTATTGATTGAAGACCACGAGCTGCAAACTATGGCCAGAACCACAAACATCTCGGCCCACCTTCCTCGAAGTAGGAGGGCCACTGCAAGCCTTGGATTTGCAAAAGAACAGGTTTTCTTATACAGTTACATAGGTTTATGTTGATTTCCACCTTTGGGCTCGCCCGTTATATATTTGACAGCCTGACTGCCTAGGAACACAAAGCCAGCTTCACCATTGATATCCATGAAGGCACGTCTTCTCCGGTTGCTATGCGAAGAAAACCGGAATCTCCTTTTGTTTTCATGGTCAAAATTGATGTCATATGCCCTGGCTCGTAGGCCCATGCGACGCGCTACTCTTGCCACCCTTGCCACTCCTGCAAAGAGTTCCAAGACCTGTAGGTCAAGGTTGTCCTGGGAGAGATCGCCGAAGTCAAACCAATGGACGAACAGCACAAGCTAGATAAAGTCCTCGGCAGGGATGGTGATGTTATACAGTTATACAATAGATCAACTGGGTGTTTGATTCTGGCCGCATGTCAATCCAAGCTTCTGTTGGACATCCCAGGGTACACAAGCGGCGTATCACCAGTTCAAATTCCGCAGGGGACATAGCTTCAAGTGCTACAGAGAACTTCAAAGGAATTAGTGCGCCGTTTTGAGAAAAACAGCTAAGCAAATCAGTTCTCTCTAGTCCGACATTGCGCACCCAAGAACTTCAAACTCCCAGTTGGATCTCCAAAACAAATCATGGCAGGCAGACACTGGGATGCATTGTGACCACCAGAGCCGCACCCACGAATAAGGGCAGCATGTGGTATGTGCGAACGCTTCCTGTCCAGTCAGCATACAAACATAAAACTTGAGGCCGAGGGTAGGTGACGAAAGCTAGCAGGGGTGCATCCGGACTTGTGGGACATCAAGCGGAGTGAGGCAAATGCTCATGAGGTAAAACGTTGTGAACATGTAAGACACACAAACAGCAATGACACAGCCAACCTTAGAATTGAAGTCCCCGATAATTAAGGAAGCGTGGCTGGACTTTGCCACATTGTTCGATGCATCCGATGTGTTCACGAACCTGTGAGCTTGTTGAATCTGTTGCACCGGATCCCAAAACCTCCACTGCAGTGTGGATGCCATAAGAGGTGCCCAAGAGGTGTCCCAGAGGCAAAACAAAGCTGCTTGCATGATTTGTTTGGTTTCTTCTATCGATGTCGATGTCATGAACATGTGAGCTTGTTGAATCTGTTGCACCGTATCCCGGAGGAGTTAAGCCAAAGTGGATGCCATAAGAGATGCCCGAGAGGTGTCCCAGAGGCGTCCGAGGGGGGAGTTGAACCCACGGGG